TGGAACATCAGCGCGTGCCGACATCCAGCGAATCGAACGTTCGTCCCGTTCGAAAATTATTCTGAATGCGTCAATCAACGGCCATTGTTCAGTTGCGCTGGCGCGATATACGAAGTAGATAACGACACACCGAACATAAAGCAGCAGCGAGATCGATAAAGGAAATCATCCGAAACGTCGCTCGGGAATTGCCGTAACAGGGGTAGAAATTAACTTTTACACAAGGGACTCCCCACCCTCAAAAAGAGGGAGTCCGCAGCAAAATGAGGGAGTCTGCAGTCTGACGTTCAAAATTAAAGACATTAACAATAAGTTTCATGCAGTTGCACGTCTGCCAAATTTTCTTTGAACATTTGATGAAAAAAACCGGTAATTCCACGAGGCTGTGCTCTGGAACTAACTAGTTATAATATCTATGCAGAATTTTCAGGGAGTCACACGGACTCCTGCATATGTCAAATCAGGGAATCCGACAGTAAATCATGTAGTATTTGACTCCAGACTCGCGTTAATTTCGCACCCTACCGTAAGCTGCGAGGAACTTACCAGCTCCTTCCGATGACCGCTGTTTACCATGTAGTAAGCATACGGGTAGGTGTACTGTAACGTGTAGCGGCACTAAAAGACATTAGAATTCATCACACATTAGAATTCATCACACATTAGAATTCATCACACAATAGAATTTATCACACATTTAATTTATCACAGATTAAAATTCATTACACATTAGAATTCATCGCACATTAGAATTTATCACGCATTAGAATTCATCACATGTTAGAATTGATCACACATTTAATTTATCACAGATTAAAATTCATCGCACATTAGAATTTATCACACATTAGAATTCATCACACATTAGAATTTATTACACAACAGAATTCATCACATATTAGAATTTATCACACATTAGAATTTATCACACATTAGAATTTATCATGCATTGGAATTCATCACACAACAGAATTCATCACGCATTAGAATTCATCACACAAGAATTTATCACACATTAGGCAACGTGCAGTTTCACGGCCAGCCTCTACCTTTCTTAAGATACCAAAGCCCTCGAATAACCATGGCTATTTATTAGCAATTAACATATTAATTATTTTAATGATAATTATCGTAATTATCAACATGTCGCCCCAAGCGCGGCGACATTATCAAAACGAAAACTCGGATGGACCGCGCAAACCCGTAAA